GAAAGAGCAGAGGCAGAGTTGTCAAAGGACAGAACAAGGAGTGAGTCCAGGAAGCGGAGAAGCATCAGGGCAGAGAGAAGCACTGTGGGAGTGCCATGGCAGATGGGCTTGAAGAGAAAGCAGGGTGCACAGCGCAATGGAGAGCGAAGAAAGGGTTTTCGGCAGGGGAGTAATGCATCAGACTACGTTTCAGAATTTTCTAGGGCCAACCAAATTAGGAGATTCTTCTGCTAATCATGATAGGAAATGATGAATAGGTAATGTCCAGGAGGATGAAAAGGAGTGGATTTGAGAAAGATGCCGAAGTCAGAGTAGTGAATGACGAGGGAGAGGAGGAAAGCATCTAGGATGACTCAGTTTCTGGTTTGACCAACTGAGTGCATAACTGTAATATCTGTTAGGTTAAAAGAGGAAATGCAGGAAATAGAAAGTTCAAAGATGCAAGGATGGTTCAACAAATCAATGTGATACATTAAAAGATAAAAATCATATCAACAGATGCAGAAAAAGCATTTGACAAAATTCAACATCCATTTATGACAAAAACTAAACGAAGCTGGTATAGAGGGAACATACCTCAACATAACAAAGGCCATATAGGACCATCCCACAACTAACATAATGATGAAAAGCTGAAAGCTTTTCCTCTAAGATCAGGAACAAGACAAGGCCACTTTATTCAACACAGTACTGGAAGTCCAAGCCAGAGCAATTAGGCAAAAAAAGAAAGAAAAGTATCCAAATTGTAAAGGAAGAAGTAAAACTGTCACTATCTGTAAGTGACATATATATAGAAAACCCAAAAGACTCCACCAAAAAAACTCTTATAACTAGTAAACAAAATCAGTAAAGCTGCAGGATACAAAATCAATATGTAAAAATATGTTGCATTTCAATGCACTAAAAATGAACTATCAGAAGAAAATTTTAAATCTCATTTACAAGTGCATCAAAAAGAATAAAATGCCTCAGAATAAATTTAACCAAAGAGGTGAAAGGCCTGACCTGTACACTGAAAACTATTAATGAAAGAAATTGAAGACACAAATAAATGGAAAAATATTTTAAGCTCATGATTCAAAGCAATCTCTATCAAATTTCAATGACATTTTTCATAGAAATAGAACAAACCATCCTAAAATTTATATGAAGCCACAAAAAACCCAAATAGCTAAAGAAATATTCAGAAAGAACAAAGCTAGAAGCGTCATATTCCCTAATTTCAAACTATACTACAAGGCTATAGTAATCAAAAAAGTAAAAAAACAAACAAAAAAAAAAAATAGATCAATGGAACAGAATAGAGAGCCTAGAAATAAACCCACACATATATGATCAATTTGTGACAAAGGAGCCAAGACTATATAATAGAGAAAGGATAGTCTCTTCAATAAATGGTGTTGGGAAAACTGGACAGCCACATGCAAAAGAATGAAACTGGACCACTCTCTTATATCATACCCCAAATTCCACTCAAAATGGATTAAAAACTTAAATGTAAGACCAGAAACCATAAAACTCCTAGAAGAAAACACAGGCAGTAAGCTCCTTAACATTGGTCTTGGCAATGATTTGGGTTTGACACCAAAAGCAAAGGCAACAAAAGCAAAAATAAACAAGTGGGACTATATCAAACTAAAAAGCTGCTGCACAGCAAAGGAAACTATCAAAATGAAAAGGCAACCTACTGAAGAAAACATTTACAAGTCATATCTGATAAGGATAATATCAAAATATACAAAGAACTCATAAAACTCAATAGCAAAAAACAATTCAACTTAAAAATAGGCAGAAGATTTGAACAGACATTTTTCTGAAGACATATACAGATGGCCAACAGGTACATGGAAAGATGCTCAACATCATTAATCATCAGGAAAATGCAAATCAAAGCCACAATGAGATAGCACTTCACACCTGTCACAATGGGACTTATCAACAAGGATGTGAAGAAAAGGGAACCCTTGTGCACTGCTGGTAGAAATGTAAATGGTGCAGCCACTGTGGGAAACAGTATGGAGGTTCCTCAAAAAATTAAAAGCAGAACTACCAAGTGATCCAGCAATTTCACTATGAGTTTTTATCTAAAGGAAATGAAAACTAATTCAAAAAGATACAGCACCCCTATGTTCACTGCAGCGCTATTTACAATAGCCAAGACATTTTATGTCCATCAATGGAATAAAATGTGGTATGTGTACACACACACAGTAGAATATTTTTTTCATTGTTAATTAAAACATTTATTTTGCCTGAAATCTGCATCATGACAAGTTATCCTGAGGTTTATAGACAGTGTGTCCATCTCAAAAGTGTGGTTCTGGGGGTTAGGGATCCAAACAAACACAGGCAAGAGTTGCGAGGGAGGAACGGGGCACAGCAGGAGTGTATTTCAATCTTTCTTAAAGGCAGTAGAGCATTCTGAGTCACTGAAAACCTCGCAGATGGGGTTTCTAAAACAAATACTGTACTGTGAGCTTAGAGAAGGGGCAGGACAAGGACCCTGAAAATACAGGGATATTTTACTGTGGCAGGGAATGAGGAGGGAGAGTTACTATTTTTAATGCCCTCAGGCACAGGACCTGATATTCAAAGGAAACCATGTCCAGTCTTAAATTATTTCCCTGCTCAGAAAGAGGTGCTAGTACCTCTGGAACCAGACCATGAAGATACCATGCTGATCATTCCCAAGTCCTTATTCTATGGCCCACAGCATACTAAAATAAAGGGGGGAAAAAAAGGTCAGAGGACAGTGGCTTGTGTTCACAGTGGAATATCATTCAGCCATAAAAAATAATGAAATCTTGCCATTTGAGACAACGTGGACTGACCCTGAGGACATTATTCCAAGTGAAATAAGTCAGATAAAGACAAATATATGATCTCACTTATATGTGGAATCTTCAAAAAATGAGCTCACACATACAAAGAACACATTTATGGGGGGAGGGATGGCAAAATGAGTGAAGGGGGTCAAAAAGTACAAATTTCCAATTATAAAATAAGTCACGAGGATGTAATAGCAGTCGAAAGGTGCTAAGAGTAAATCTTAAAAGTTTGCATCACGAGAAAAATAATTTTTAAGTGTGTGGTGGAGGGTGTAGTAATCATTTTGCAATATATACAATATATTTGATATGCAATATCAAATCATTACATTGTACACTTGAAACTAATGTAAGTTATACCTCAGTTTAAAAAAAGAATGCTGAAAAATAATCCAATAACTTGTTTAAGTATATTTTTTGGAAGGATTACTTTTTAATCTTGAATTTTGAATAAACGTGCTTTAACAACAACAAAAAAATGGTGCAAAGTTCAGAAGGAAGATTCAGTTTCCCACATGTGGCAATTGTGAAACACTGATATGAGCCTGAGAGTAAGAACATGAGAGAGAAGTCGAGACTGGGAGATGGGAATAATGAGAAGTAGGAGTTTGAACTAGAGAAGATACTGAGAGATACATTAGAACAATGTTTAAGGGACTCCCAGGACAGTCAATGTTTAAGGGATGAAAGAAGACAAGTCTTGGAAGAGAATATAGAAACTGCTGTAAAAATAGAAAACGGGAGTCACAACCACCAGCCTTTCTACTTCCTATGTTTCCCCAGTGCCCCCAGGTACCTCCCTGGATGAAGGCAGCCAGGCAGGGTCCTAAGCTCACCTTGAAGCCCGACCCTGGTAAGAAAAACCTTGTCTCTTGAAATAATCGATTGTATCATCAGAGCAGGTCTTGAGAGTGTTCACCCGCACAAATCGAGGCACCTGGGAGGCTAGGAAGCAATCAGCCGTGAGTGGACAGGTACATGGCCCTCTCCTCCAAGGGCTTGATGGCTACCCACCACCGCCACAACTCAGCTTACCTGGGCCAGGCCTGCATCCTACTTCCAATAAGTCCTCATTCCGACTCACACCTCGATGAACCTTGAGCCGGGCCAACTCAGCCTTAAGCCTTGCCTGGTGCCGGTTGAGCAAAGGCTTCCATCGGCCCCCGCCCCCTCTAAAGCCTCTTCCCAACAACAATTCATACACTAGCACCTGGGGATGGAAAAACGAAAAAACCCTAAGCATTAATACCTTCAAATGCCATAGTGTTGTAACAGGAAAGGCTAAACAGACCACCTGTCCAGACACTTAACAGGTAATAGTGAGGTCCTTGTCCAAGAACACACAAAATTAACGGCAAATCAGGATTTGAACCTGATGTCTTGCTTCTCAGTCCTGAACCATTTCCACATGGCTGCTCACTAGCAGAGCTATGGATCTCATCCCTCCTCGTCAACATCACCCTTCTGTTTTACCTAAAGAGTCCCTGCCAATGCTACTTCGTACTTTTGTTCTTTTTTAGGCACGAAATTAAAGCATTTTCATCCTACCCCAATTAATAACTCAGCAAGGGGTTGCTTGTCCTCATTTCAGAGGAACAACTAACGTCACATAGTGAGGCGTATGGAGTCGGTACAAAGTTAGAAGGGGCTCACTGCCCTGCCCCGCCCCACCCTACTCAGCCCATCACCTTGGCCAGATGAGGCCGCAGCTTCTCGGCACGGAGGAGGCCGGCGCTGGCGATCACGGCATCCAGCACGGCGGCATAGCGCTGCGTCTCGCACACCAGCGCGTACAGCTGCTTCACGTTCTGCGCACGGCCAACAGGGCACAGGCTGAGAGCGGGGCGGGCCACAAGCTAGTCCCCCCCGCCCCACGCCCGGGCCGGATCCCCGCTACCTGGAATCTGCTGGCGTACACCAACCCTTTGATGGAACCCTGGCGACTCTCCACGCCCGCCAGCACAGCCGCCGCCGCCGAATACAGCGCCATGCTCCGCTCCGAGTTGCCTTTACAGCTCTGTCGCGAAGCACTCTCGGTTCTGCGCCTGAACTTCCGGGGTCAAAGGGCACAGAGGTTCCGGACCCGGAAGCTCCCGTGCTAATCAGAGTTCCCCAAGGCGTGTGTCGGTCGGTTCAGTCCCCTGTTAGGGTGAGGAGGTTGACGCTGGGAGCATATTTCTCCACTTCTTGGTAGCTCTTCTTTTTTTTCTTTTAATCTTTGCCAATCTGATAGGCAGTGAGATTTTACTGCTGTTTTAATTTAATTTCTATTGAGATTGACTATGTTTATTGGTCATTTGTATTCTTTATAACATGTCAATGTCTTTCACGCACTCTTATACCATCTTACGCTTAGTACACTTTATATATTAACATCATATACTCTTAAGTATTGCCATTTTTTCCTCGTTTATTGTTGCTTTTTAATGTCGTTAATAGTTGCTTTGGACAACATGGTGTTTTCATTTTTAAAATTTTTCCTTTAATGGTTTTTGCCTTTGGTGTCACATTTGGAAACCCTTTCACACTTACAATGTAGAAATCACTATGGCTTCATTTTTTTCACACTTAAATATTAAATAAGTTTAGAATTAAGTTTGACACATGATGTGAGGAAGGGCTCTAACTTTGTTTCCAAATGGTTAACCTTTCATGTATTTATTGTAATGATTCATTTATAGGAGTGTTTCCCCAGCCTGACCCTTGAGAGGACAGGGATTGTGCAGTAGTTGTCTGTGTCCCCAGCACCCATGTAATTACTGGTTCATAATAGGTTATTATGTACACGTGTATCTCAAGCGTTCTAGTATGCAGGCCTCTGTGGGCTAGAGTATCCAGCCCATATGTTCTTCGTATTGCTAACAGCATGTTTTCAAGCATTTTGCAAGAGGGTTGACTCCAGTCTACATTAAAATTGCTAAGTAGTCTAAAGGTTTAACCAACTCCTTCCGTAGCTCCAAGTTAGTTCATAAGTGATCTTTTAGTGGAACCCCTCCTCATCCCCAACATCAAATCACATCCTCTATTTTATTTTCTTCATAGCACCTATTATATATGATTATGATTTATTCCATCTCCCCAGCTAGCTCCATGAGGGTAAACCTTTGTCTCTCTTAGCACTCATCTTTCTTTATCAGGTGGACCAGTGTTTCTCAAAACAAGGACATAATATCTGTTGAATGAAGAGAACATAAATTGATGTGGTGCTGGACAACTGGTTGTGACCCATCCTAAAACAGTCCCTCCTGCTTCGAGTAGGTAACAGGTGTACCAATGTTAATGCAAATCCACAGTTTATTCAGATTTCCTTAGTTTTTTAGCCAATGTCCTTTTTCTGTCCCAGAATCTCATCTAAGATATTACAGTACATTCAGTTGTCATGTCTCCTATGGTTCCTCTCAGCCTTCATAGTTTCTCAGACTTTCCATGTTTTTGATGACAGTGATGGTTTTGAGTTCTGGTTAGTGTTTTGCAGAACGTCCCTCTATTAGAATTTGATGGGTTTTTTTTTTTTTTTCATGATTAGCGTTATGGGTGTTTGGGAGAAAGACCAGGCTTGAGGAACAAGGGAGGAGTGACAGAAGGAGAGGGCCACCTGCCAGGAGTCTAGTATAGGAAAGCTGCCATCCCATAACCCAGCAGGCAGGAAACCAGGAAAATAAATACCTCAAACTCCCTCTCCTGTCCTGGGATCTCCTGCAAGTCCCTCCCATCTGAGGCCCAAAGGGAAGCCAAAGCCTTTTGCATTCCATCAGGGCCAGCCTCCCAGGACACAGAGCAGGATGGAGAAGGGTGGAGAGTGGATATAGAGGTGTGACAGTCTTCAGCCCAGTCCTGGGACTGAAGGAAGAGCTGTATAGCCAAAAAACCAGGTCTGAAAAGTGTCAACCACACAGTGGCCAAGGCCTGACAGATTCAGCCAGTAAAGATACGACAAATACCATTTGATTCAGTTTATTTACATAGACAGCAGAAGGAAGATTAGCCAAAGGTGCCAGCTCCATGTCATCCTTGTTGCACACACCAAAAAGGATGATGTGGAAGTCAAAGGGCTGGTAATTGCAACATGAGTCATGGGATATCCTGTTTGTGAGGAGCCAGTTCTAGATGCAGCTAAGCTGTTTTATAGTCTGCAACTCTATTCAGAGGGAGGTAGAGCATAAAGCCTTATATTTCATCAGCGCCTGGGAGGTGATGTCTCCTGACAGTCTCCAATGGGATGAGGAGGTGAGTGGACCTGGCCTTGAGGCAGCACCTCACAAGCCTTCCATCCTCTGCCATTCCTAGAGTGTCATTCAGGCTGTCAGTCAAGCCTTTGCCCACGTGGTTACATGCCAGGGCACCAAGGGAGAGTTTTTCCCCACAGAAGGCTCTTAGGTGGCTCCACAGACCTCACTGGCACGAAGTTGGAATCTAAAGCACCAGATCTCAGGTGACTCAGCCCCAATCATTCTTTCTCTTCCAATTTTCAGATTCTTGGGAGAGAATTCAACTGCCCCAGCCTTGGTCTGGGGTGGAAGCCATCAGCTGTGGCCAGGGGCAGGCTCACCATGAACAAACATGGGCTCTGGGCCTACCCCCATGTGCCCAGCAGCTTTCAGGAGCAGGCTGCACCCCCATCTGGCCCCTACTTGCTTCTGCTTTGAATTAGTGTCATTTTCATCTCATCTAAAGTATGAGAAGTCAAGAGAGGTCTTTAAGGACAGAGCAATGACAGAGTGGTTCAGGTGACTTTTAACTATAGACTAATGGGCAGTGGGTAGAAACAAGCTGTGGCCCCACCAGAGGTTGGGGCTGCTTTAAAAGACCCAACCATAAAGCAGTACGTACAGCAATTAATATTTGCAAATCACTTAAAGAGCTGGAAAACTAAGAGCATGGTTAGGAGGGACCAAGGGAAGCCCAGCTTGACTCATGGACACTAGGGCTTAGTTCTGCTGGTTAATAAGCAGGTTAATAATCTGACAATAGGTTAGTAAACCCCTGCCTGATGGGGGACTATAGTCCTTTTCTTCCTATCTTTAAATGTTTCCAGGGACACACAGGCATGAAGACCTCCCCAAACAGTAAAGACGTCATCTCTGCTTCCTGGACCCAGCAGAATCCCTCAAGTCCTCGTGCGCAGATGGGAAGGGCCTGTGGGCAGGCAGCCTCGGGAGTAACTCTACAGCTTGATGGGCTGTGGGGGGTTGAGGTGGCCGGGCCCACTGGGTGGGGGCAGCACCATGGGGAGTGAGTTGCTGCCCCGTTCGTGCCAGCATGTGTCCAGGATAGGGTAGAGCTTGCCCTGGAAGTCTGCCTGGAATGTGTAGAGTGGTCTCAGGTCATCTGGGCGGTCAGCATCAAAGAAGGTGAGCTCTCCCTGCTCATAGTGCAAATAGACGCCAATGCGGTGGGGGTGGCTGGCCACAGGCAGAGGCACCCTCGGGCAGCAAAAGGCCTCATACACCCGGCCCTCCTTCAGGCCAATGAGCCATAGGCCATGCTCTGGGGACTTGCTCAGCTTGCCCTTGCGACTGGCTGTGCCCTTGATGACCCCCAGGCGCCAGTCACTCTTGTTACCCACCACCACCTCCCAGTAATGGCGGCCGCAGGAGAAGCCTCGGCTGGCTAGGACACAAGTACTGTAGTCGAAGCGTTCAGGCTGGCTGGCGTGTCGCTGGGCCAGTAGCCCACATTGCACCACCGTGTTGCCTTTAGAGAGTTCCAAGAGAGGGTGGGCAGTGGCAGGATCCAGCTTAAGAGACTCCGGGGCTAGGAAATACCAGAGAAAAGATGTTTTCAAGCCACATAGAGGGCAGCAGACCCTGTCCCAAGACAGGTTGATTAGAGGCCCTGAGCTCCTCGGGAGAGGAACTGCGTAGGCCTCATTTCTGTATCCTAAGGGCCTAGTAGGGACCAGGCACAGAATAGGCACCATAAGGATGTTTATGTAATAAAATGATTCCTGAAGGGTGGGAAAAATAAACAACTGTGAGCCAAGGCCTTCTGGTGAGGAACATAGTGCAGGTCTGCCTAAGGCGGAGGTGCTGATGGAAGGACCTGAAAGATAGCCTGTCATTTGTGCTCCACAGCTAAACTCCCCAGGTTTTCTGGAAAATCCAAAACAAAATTGTTTTTTTGATACCTTAGCAGCTTATTTGAGGACAAACTATCCCAACTAACCTCTTTGCTAGCTGCCAGCTGATCAGTTTACACCAAAAACGTGCAAACAACACACAGTTGAGAGATTGTGTGTGTGTGTGTGTGTGTGTGTTAACACCTGCAGCACCTGGTCTTCCTAGGTGGTCTCCCATCCAAGTATTAACTAGGACCGACCCTGCTTAGCTTCCAAGATCAGACCGGATCAAGCACGTTCAGGGTTGCATGGCTGTAGACTATCTGTGGTTTTTTCCTCTTCCCCTTTTTCTCTTATATAAACTGTTTTTGTCTTTGTTGGCTGAAATCAATCTGTTGATCTCCTTTATGTGACAGTAATGAAGGAGTTAATTAAATTAGTTCTCTTGATAGAGCAATAGCTATATTTATAAGCACTAAACTATACACACATGTGTATATATGTATATTTATAAATAGGCAGCCTAGCAAGGTGGCTGTTAATAGCCCCTCTCTACAAATGAAGAAACCGAGGCTCAGAAATTACACAACTTGTCCTGGTTAATAGACGATGGAGCTTAGCTTGAACCCAGGCTGTTTGGTGGAACTTCACTCCTGTGCTCTCAAGCCTCCTCTGTACCTTATATCAGCAGCCCTCAGGAAGGATGGGTTGGGTTCTCACCTGGCAGAACCTTGCGGAAGAGCCTTTTCCACACAGTCAGCTTGATGTCAGCCTGGTGGAGGCCTGGCTTGAAGGAGATGGGGCTGAATGTACTTTCCAAGGGCCGGACCTGCTGCAGCTCTGCTCTAGGGGGCAGCAGTTGATAATGATGGTGGAGCTGCATCCCGTGCACCCCACCCCTGCACCCACATGCAAGTCCAACCAGACTGCACAGCTCAGAAGACTGTGCACTCTGGATGCCCATCAGTTCCTCCCCTCCACCCACTCTCAGAGGATCTGTCTTCCTGGAAGGGAAAATACATCGATGTTCCTCAATTGTAGGTCTAGGACCAGCAGCATCACCTGGAAGCTTGTTAGAAATGCAAATATTTTCGAGTTCCACCCTAGAGCTGCTGAATCAGAAACTGATTACTGAGGCCCAGTGAGGATGTGTTAACGAGCCCTCCAGGTGGTTCTGATGCATGCTAATGTTTCAGGACTACTTCTCTACCCGGTGACCCTTGTGCAGAGCCAATCAGATACTCTGTCCTTTCATTGAAACCAATGCTCCTAACCAAATTGTCCCTAAATGCAATCCGTTCCCACAAGCTGTAGTGCAGGTGTGAAGCACCCTCGTTATGGCTATTACCCACCTCCCCCACCTCATTTCCTGTGTCACCCTGTGTCATACTTCACAGCCCAGCAATACTGAACTTATTCCCAAGTCCACATACTACTTTGCCCTTTCATGTACTTGCTTGCCTGCCAAACGCCTGTCCTCCCCCTTCTCAGCTGTCCACCCAGGCACAGCTTTGCCAATCTCTCCCCGCCCCACAGTCACCACCTCCTCTGTGTTATTTCTGTAGCTTGTGTGAACTTCTGTTGTTCTAGGTACCCACAGTGATGTAACCATAGTTTACTGTCTGCCTCCCACCAGTCTGCGAAACCCCTGAAGACAGGGACACGACTGCATCTCTGTTTCCCCTGGGCCCAGTACAGAGCCAGATGTGGGCAGCTGCTCCCGAGACACTGGTGCAACTGAAGGGAGGAAATGGTGGAGAAGAGATGCCTGTGCCCACAGCCACCCGACCCATGCCGAGAGCTCCCTCCCAGGTTATTACCTGGAGGCCATGGAGTGGTAGTTCTGGAAGACAAGAGAGAGGTGGGTTAGGGCATGGCAGAGGCTATGCAAAAGTCGTTATGAGTAGAAGGCTCTGAGGGCCTTGACATGCGGCATACTCCCTTGTCCACTCACCCGGATGAACTCGTGGTAACTCTCGTTACCAAACTGCTCCAGCACATGCCCAACTTGGACCAGCCGCTCCTGCTTGCCCTGGGCCTGCTCCAGCTGCATGTCCAGGGAGGCCACGAGGCCACGGGTGTGACCCTCTACTCCCCCCAGGCAGCGGGCCTTCTCCTCGTCCACCAGGTGGTGCAGCTCCTGGAACTCACGGCGGATCACCCAGCTGAAGACTTCAGACTCGTTCTGGGACAAGGAGGGCCTGTCGTGACTGGAGCTGCAGCAGAGCCACCTAGCAATGACTGACCTCTGCGTCCCCAGAGCCTGGCAGCTTGGGCCTTCTTGACTAGGCTAGTTCTGGTACTTGAGTCCCAGGACTGACTCCTGCCCAGATGTTCACACTGCGACTGGGCATCCCATGGGGGCCCATGGTGGTGGGCAATAGTGGCAGAGCCAAGGCTGAGCCCCCAGTTCCCATTTCAAAGCAGCGGCTCGGCTTTTTCCTGGCTTAACTATTAAATGTGCATATAAGATTTTGCTTTATCGCAGGGTTCCACAGCTGAAAGAAGTCTGAAAGTCTCTGGGAGAGTACGTTTTGGAGATAACCAGGATTCCTGTGTGACCCTGAGTTCTGTCTCCATCCAACAGGGTTATGCCCCGTCCCTCTCAAGGGTAAGAGGTGCTTTGGGAATACTGGGCTCCTGCTCCCGTTTTATGACCACCTGCAGGGCCCGGGCTTCATACCCTTCCAGCCCCGATATACCCCTCAATGAGGAAAAGCAGATAGCCAAGGAGGGCTTCAGGCCTTTCCACCCCTGTGCTCCAGGTGCTGAGCAGGCACCACATGGACTGTCAAGGTCAAGCAGACACAGGAGGCTGGGGCGGGCCGAATCATGCCCTTGCTTAGGGCTGTTTACCTCTGGGACATGGGTTCTGGGTTATCTGAGTCCCAAGGACATGGAGGACACAAGCCAACTTGGAGACAGTCCTGACAACTGGGTTGAATTCCCCTGAGAGGATTTACACCTTCCCCACCCTGCCCTGGAATGCTTTGAATTTCAGCTTTATATAGAAGGCATGGATTCCTGTAAAGGACAAATTAGAACCCGGCTCTATGGGAAAGGGCAGAGGGAAAGGACACTCACGAGAATCCTGGTCCTGTTGTTCACCAGTTTGGCGATATGCTCATCCACCTTTTTCTGCTCCTGCTTCAAGTCAGAGATGAGGGCCGCAAGCTCCTCCTGGAAGCAACATGCCATGGCCCTGTAGCTGACCCCTTCACCCTCTCAGTTCCTTGGGGCCAGCCCTGGGTCTCACCCTTTTAGGGAGCATCCCAATGGCCACTAGCATTCCAGTGGAACCAGGACAGAGATCAGAGCTACCCAGTTTCCCTTGACCTCAAAATAGTTAAGATTATTCAAGAATATTCTACATTGATGATAGGAACTGCCCAGGCAGAAGAGGATCTCCATGTCATCCCTCTCTAAGACATGGAGGGAAGTGCTAAACACTGTTACAGCCACCGGAAGTCACCGCACAATATCCAGAAGGGGTGATTGCCAGTCTGAAGCCAATCCTCCCTGCATGGAATGCTTCCTGTAGGGTACATACCAGGTAAACTCTTCAGTCACCAGGAGGTCCAGAATTAGTAGGCATTTGATCAAGAATCATCACAAAGGGGCTGTCCCCAAGTGAGGCAAGTGGTGCATGTGGTGGCTCAGGTTACACCTGGTGAGTCCCCATATGCTATAAAGACCTGAACCCATCCCTGGCAGGCTTGGGCTCGGCCTAGATTTAGGGCCTCCCAAAGATAAAGTAAACTCACTTCTGGGCTGCCCTGCCTCCAAATCCAGCCTAGCCTTAGGGATCCGAGCAGGACCACTTAGACCACCATCTAGCTGTACTACTTGACCAGGGCCCTGCTGCTTTGTGCCTGTGGAGTGTACAAACTCTGGCTTAGATAGTTACCAAGCAGAAGTCAGCTGCAAGAGCCTTTCAGGAAGGGAGCAGGGTAAAAAGAATAATGCCAGTGTGGGGATAAATGGACACAGAGCCCTTTCTGTGGGTAAAGAGGCATCAGATCTCACAACAGCCCAAGAAAGGCATTCCAAAGGTAATCCTAAATCAGAGAGATGGAACTAGTTCTTTCTCAGCAACTGGGCTACAGTGAGAGGAAACAGAATTATGAAAATGAGGTATCATGAGACCTCAATCAATAGGAGAAGACAAGAATGCATGAAAGGGATCTTTTAAAGGAACAATTTAGTCACATTATACAGAGTCTTGAGATCACAAAAACCCACATCCAAAACCAAGACCTAAGCTGCACCCTAGCTCCTAGCCAGAAATAACGAGCAAGCTCCCAAGTATTTCCTTCTCTCCTGGGCAGCTGTCTGCTAATAAAATGTGGGCTTTATTTCATTATATTGAAATTGGGTTTTCTTCTTCCACACTCCCCTAAAACTACTCTTGCCAAGATAATCAATTCTTACTGCTAAAGCTGACAGACTCTTCATTTTTCAGCAGACACTTCACAAGTGATCTTGTTCTTGTTAAAATGCTCTGTACCTCTGATTTCCAGGAGGCCATATTCAGCCAGTGTTCCTACTCCCTCCGTTGATTCTTTCTGTCCCCTTTTCGGGGTTCTCTACCCAAATCTTCTGGTGCTCCTTGGGGTGTATCATCAGTGTCTTCCCTTATCAGTCTGCAGACTCCCCTGGTGGGCCTTCTCCACACCTTCAGTTACCACCCAGCCTCACTCTCCAATCTACCCTCCTGAAGAGGGATCAGACTACACAACAACCCTGCTTAAAATCCTCCAGGCCCACCCCCTCTACATGGTTCTCTGTATAAACTGCAGATCCCACCATGTGTCACACAGGCCTTTCCACGACCTGGCCCGTGCTGTGCTTACTTCACCTACCCCGTCTCGCTCCTACCTCACCCTCCCTTGAGCTTAATAGAATGATATAAATCCTCAAATATGCCAAGCCATTTGCCTCCTGGTCTTTTGCATATGTTGTCTTTATATTTGGAGTGCTTTTCCTTCTCTTCTTTTTCTATCAAGTCCTCCTTGTGGTTCAAATCTTGGCTTAGCAGTTCACTTCCTCTAGGAAACCTGTGACCACCTGAGATGATGCAGAAGCCATGTTCTAGGTAGTCTCCCCATTGCCTGTATTTAACTTTGAAGGCAGCACCCAACATATGGGACTCTGTCAGACCCCCAGACTGTGAGTTCCCCCAGGGCAGATGAACCTCTTGTCCACTACTGCACCATGGGCACCAACACAGATTAGAAGCCCAGTAAGTGTTTGTGGGTAGGAGGGGCTGGTGGATGACCTGGCTGGCCTTGTGCAAGTTTCCTACTTGTCTCTCAGGGCTGAAGGAGCAAAGAAATGTTGCCCAGAGCACTCAGCCAGGAAACCCCTAGAACAGCTTACAAGAAGGGGCCCTCTGCCTGCAGCTCTGGATGCTCTTCCTTTTCCTGTTCTCCTCACCTGTATTTTTTCACCTTTATGCCCCTCTCCCGCTCAAACACCAGGCCAGGCACCCTATAACAATTCACTTCCAAGAACCCTTCCTGCCCTTTCTTGATTGTTGCAATGGAAAGAAAACTGCCTTGGTTTGAGTCCTAGCTCTGCCACTGACAAGCTGTCTGACCTTGGACAAGACCCTTACCTTCTCTGAGCCTTACTTTCCTCATTTATAGAATACAATAACAACCCTATACTTCATAAACCTTAGATGAACAATTAACCCAAGATGGTTCGCTCTTATTATCTTAAATTATGATCTGGTAGACCTGAGGCAAAGGTCCAGGAGGACAAGAATCCATTGATTTCACAAATACATTTTGAGCTTTTACTACATGCCAGGCACAGAGGTACCCAAGGAAACAAAGCAAAGTCCCTGCCCTCGTGTGTCTAAGAGTGCAGTCCCAGGAGCACTCAAGAAACAAAATGAGGGCTACAAAGAAACAAAGCCAGGAAAGGGCTAGCACGTGATTTGGGGCATGCTCCATCACATGCACTGCTGTAATCCCCAGCACCTACTCGGAGTGTAGTGGATGAATAGTGAATGCACTGGGGCTCTGCTCCAGGACGGGGCTGAAGGGAACTCGGGTCCCGGCAGGACAGGACACTTCTGTGCCAAGTGATGGCTCCAGAGAGCTCAGACGCTGGGCTCCCTGTGCCCCCAAGGTGGCCCCGGTTCCTCGCCCCTCAGCACTCTTGCTGCCTACCTTCATTCGGCTGTAGACAGTGGAGACGGGGGTGACCCGGTGGTGCTGGTGGGATCCCAGCAGGCCGCAGAGGCCACAGATGAGCTCCTGGTCCTTCTCGCAAAAGAGGCTGAGTGGGTTTCGGTGGTGCGCGCAGACTTTGGGCTCTGGGTCCCTGGGGAGCTGCAAGGCTTCAATCACCCGTGCCAGGGAGACGTTGGGCGGGGAGCTGCTACCATCCACCTCCTGCCGGCACACGGGGCAGCGCAGCTCGGAGTCCAGGTGGTGGGACAGGGACACCAGACAGCCTTTGCAGTAGGAGTGGCCGCACTGCAGCATTAGGGGCTCCCTGAAGACCTCGAGGCAGATGGGGCACTGCAGGCGGTCCTCCAGCTCTGGCACTCTCACCTGCCACGCCATCCGCGATGCTGGATGGAATACAGTGCACCTTCCTAAACCTGCTCCCTCCACACCTTCTGCCCCCAAACCCCTGGAAAGGGCTGCTGCAGATTAAGAGGGCCTTACAGACTCCAGTCTTGGATTTCAGTCCTAACCCCCTATAACTTTGGGTGTTTCCCATCTTTAAAACAAAGAGCTTAAAAGAAAAACAAAGGTCACATAAAGATATATGAGTCTACTTTTTTCACTCAGATTTGGAGGGAAACATGAAAGAAAGGGGCCATCTGCAGGGTCATTTGGAATGACAAATAATGGCAACTCCAGCCGCAGCAGGGGTTCTGACCTAGAACCGAACAGCACAAACAAGCAAAGTTCCTTTCCATCTTTGAGGTGAGTGTTCAAGCTGGTGATCAACCATTGCAAGTATACTTATAACAGAGATTCCTGAGTCACTCCTTCACACATCTCTAGTGAGACCTGGAAATCTACATTGACAATAGACACTCCCAGGTCATTCTAAAGCAGAGAGTTCTGTCTTAGAACAACACTGTTCTGGAGAGTCTGGGACTTATCTTAACTTCCCACCCAGTTCTTCTGTGAAAACTGATCGTCTCGAGAGAAGCACTGAGCTGAAGTCGCCAGCAGACCCAGGAAGAGCCCCTGTGTGGAACTACCTGGCTTCTCAGGATCCACTGAGCGAGCCTCCTACTGGGACCTCAAACCAGCATCGCTGACAGGATTGGCTTGGCCTCTTCTCCCCAGGATGAGATAGCAGGAGTGGAGACTCGGGGATTGCAGCTGGATGCCTGCTCCACCACCTAGTCTCTGCCCCTTTCCTCCTCCCCTTTCCCAGCAACACCCCCATATCCTCAAGGTCACCCAGAATCAGGTGGAAACTGGGCCACATCACGGGACTGGGGAGGCAGCCTCTGCTGGGCCAGCTCTGATAACTGTAACATTCAGGTGCTTGCTTTGGCCAGGCAAGGGGAAGGGGTGGAGACAGAGACTGGGCACCCATTCACACCTTACTGACCCCAAACAGGAATGGACTTGTGTCCTGGTACAATCTTTCTGAATCTTTCTGTCTTTATTTTAAAGATATTTTAGTTTACTTATTTAGATTTTTTTAATTGGGGTAAGTGCACATCTTAATCATATACTTGATGTTCACTCTTTGCATATATACATACTCACTCAAGATCAAGATAGAGAACATTTCCAGTACCCAGAAGCCTCCCTCATGCTGCCGCTAGTCAGAACTCTAACAAGAATAGCCACTATCATGACTCATATCATCTGTGGGCTGGTTTTGAATTTCAAATGAACAGAATCACATACTATGTACTTTTGTGTCTAAGTTCTTTACTCAATATTATTGCATTAGGAAATTTTTTTATATGAAGTCTTTCAAAGGTTTAGAAGTCCAATGACATTTTGTTATACAGTTAATAATATACTATATATGCTATATGTATAAAATACAAGTCATAATGTACTGTACATTCCCAGAGGTATGGAGGGAAATTATTGATTGGAAAGGACAGGTTAGAAACACAAGGATCTGTGGAACAGCAGGCCACAACCTCCACAGGCCCAAGCACCAATGTCTGCCAGCCAGGGAGGTTGCCACCCCTGTGACAAGCAAGACTAAGGTCTGGTATAGACAGGTAGAAAGCTAAATTTATTTGTTAATTCAAGAAATATTTATTGAGAACCTGCTACATGTCAAGCATTGAGCTGGGTATTATAAATATATTAAAGAACAAGACAGACAAGGTTTCCATCCTTTGAGTTTATGATGTATGGGATAGGAGTGGTGTATAAGGTCATTAACAAGTTAATATAATAGTGGTAAATGCTATGAAAGAAGTAAACAATGTGAGAAAGGGGGACAGATTGCATGAGGTACACTTTAGCAAGGGGCAGGGCAATATCTTTGAGGAGGGATGGTTGAGGTGAGACCCGAAAAATACACAGAAGCCAGCTACCTGAAAGGATGCAGGAGGGTGGAACAGGCAGTAGGTCAGCAAGTACAAAGGCTCTGAAGCTGGAAAGCACTTGGTATTTGTGAGATACACTAGAAAGTAGACCTGGGTAGCTGGAGCTGGAGTGTAGTAAGGGAGAAGGAATATCAAAAGATGAAGCCAGAGAGGTTGGCAAAGAGGGCTCTGTAGACTAGGGCAAAGGTTTGGATTTCATTTCAAGGGCAGTGAGAGCTACTGGAGGGTTTTAAGGCAAGGGAATATCATCTGATTTCTATTTATATATTTATTTATTTAAACACCTATAGCACCTGTCTTCCTAGGTGGTCTCCCATCCAAGTACTAACCAGGCCCGACCCTGCTTAGCTTCCGAGGTCAGATGAGATCAGGCATGTTAAGGGTGGCGTGGCCATAGACTCTGATTTATATTTTTAAAGATCATTCTGGCCACTTTGCAGATAATGGATCACAGTAGCTTGAGCACCTGGATAGATGGATGGTGAAGCCGATGACATACAGAGAAGATCAAGGTGAACAAACTAGAAACGGGATCCAGAGTCAGATGCCTGAGGGCATTCAGGGAAAAAATGAGTAGCCCAACAATCTGCAGACTTCAGCAAACAATAAAATCACCTGTAGGGCTTGTTAAAACTCAGTTTCTAGGCCCTGGCCCCAGAGTTTCTGATTCAGGAGTATAGGCATGAGCCCAAGAAATTTGCATTTGTAACAAGCATTGATGCTGCTCATCTAGGGACTAACCCTTTGAGAACCACTGAAAAAGGCAATTGGACACAGGCACCTGGGGCTCTGGCACTTGGGAGGCTCTAGGCTGGCCAGATATATATACCACCTATATATATCATATATTTAAACCTATAGGAAAGGCTGGGATCTCTTAGGGACTGAAAACAGAGATGGGCAAGAGTCTAAGGATGGCTCTGAGGTTGCTAACGATTAGAGGTCAGGAAGTGAAGGATGACTGAGAAGGGACAGTGAGGTAGGAGGAACATCAAGAGTGAGCGGTGACTAGGAAGCTGTGGGAGGCAGAATGGCCCCCTAAAGATATCCATGCCCTAATTCCCGGACTCTGTGATTATACTTTACATGGCAAAAGGGACTTTGAAGATGTAATTATGCTCATAAACTTGAATTATCCAGGTAGATTCAATTTAATCACATAACCGCTTAACAGCAGAGAACTTTCTCTGGCTGGAGTCAGAGATGCTACAGAAGAGGAAGCTAGAGGATTCCAAGCATGAGAAGGATTCAGCACACTGTTGCTGAGATGTCAGGGCCCAGGTACAAAGACAGGAGAGAGGCCACTAAAAGCTAGGGGTGGTCCCTGGTTTTCAGCAGGCAAGGACATGGGGACCTCAGGCTTAGAGCTGCAAGGATCCGGATTTTCTAAATTGAATGAGCTTTGAGGTGGATTTCCCCCCAAAGCCTCCAATCAGGCTGATGTTTTGATTTTAGCCCAGTGGGACCAACGTTAGAATTCTCACCTACAGAACTGTTAAAGAATAGGTGTTGCTTTAAACAGCTAGGTTTGTGGCAATCTGTTGCAACATTGATAGAAAACAAATACAGAAGCCAAGGAAAAAGCATTTAAAGGTGAGAGAGGTCAACTTCATCGAATGCTGACAAGAGTCCAGCAATCTGAGGACAAAGAGATGTCTGATGGACAACAAAAGCAGTGGCAGGAGCAGGGCACAGTGGTAATATTAATGTGAGTTGGAGAGAAAATGGAGGGTGAGGAGGTGGATACAGAGCAAATGAAAAGCCTCTGCAGCAACTCTTTCCAGAAGTTTTTTGTGAAGAGTAGGATTGGGGCCACCTGTAGCAGGAGGGAGATGTGGGACAAAGGGAAGCTCATTTGTTTTATGGTAGGAAATTTTCAGACACATATAAACGGAAGGAAATGATACAGTAGCCGAGGCAAAACTGGTGTAGGACAGAAAGGGTACCCAAAGTCCTTGAGCAGGCAGGAGCGCAAGGACCCAGGGACCAAGCCAGAGGGTCTGGGATCCGGGGCCATTCTTCCTTTGCATCATGAAGGCGTAGGTGCAGCAGATTCTGTGGATTCGGTGACGGGAAACTGAGAGAGCCATCATTTTGTTTTCTCAGGAACTACGCAGTCCGACTTTAAAGTCCTGGCCCGGCCTAAACTTCTCGGAAAACAAAGAAGGAAGGAAGGTGAAAATAACGCACTGCTGAGAGGCCTGACCCTTCCAGCAGCAGGCCGTTTCGAGGTCCTGTCCTCATTGGTGCACTCCCATCACGTGCCCCACTGCGTGTCCCCTCCCCCAATCACGTGCCCCACAGCGAGTCCTCGCCAGTCGCATGTCCGTTCCCCACGCCTTCCCTACATGCCTCACCACACGCTCCCACCACTTGCTGCGCAGGTTTGTTTTTTTTTCCCACCACGGGCCCCATGGTGCACCGCGCGCCCCTGTCGCGTGTCCCAGTGCACCCTCAGTGAGCCCAAGGGCGGTTGGCTGCGGTTGGGACTAAGCGATTAGCGCTTCCTCGAGGCCCGGGAACGGAATGCTGCCATCTGGAGCTGACCGCAGGGTATAAAGGCGGAGGCGGGAAGGGAGTCATCCCCTTCGGGACTTTCCCGGAGTCTCTGGCAGGGAGAGGGCGATAGGACTGAGCGCTCCTCCGCGTGGATATGGTGGGGAGCACCCGGACCCCGGGAGTCAGACGAGGGGACTGCGCCCCTAGCCAGGTGAGGGTCCTGGCGAGTCAGGGGCTGGGGCGCCAGAGGCAGGGTGCAGTCTGAGGGCTCACAGGTCTTGTGTTTCATTCCCACCAAGTCTCCCTACCAGAAGTTAAGTCAATGGATGCTGGACATTTCCGGAGACCGGGGTGTGCTGAAGGACATCATCCGAGAGGGTGCTGGCGAGCTGGTGACACCGGATGCTTCGGTGCTAGGTACAGCCTGCGGGCCCGGTGCCCTCTGTCCTCTGGAAGCTGGCGATATGAGAGGACTGGTGGTTACGAGGGCAGCAAGCGTTTCACTGCAGTTTACTTTGGGGGTGAG